TTTTTTTTTTTGAAAATAGAGATGGATAATAAGTTGTTCAGCTTTGGCGTATTTATTTTTCATGCAGTTGCTCATTTGTTATTATCTAGAGGGACAGGCCAGTGCACGATAGAATGATTAGTCATGCGGGTAGTACTTTTCACTTCTTCAGAACAATTTCACCACTGTTTTGTGCCATCTTTTTTGAAGAATTATTTGAAGAATTATAAATTGATGTGTTGGTTTATTGCTCATTTTTTTAATCCCTTTTTTTTTCGGTTCAAGCGCATGATAAAGAATGAGATAATGAGAGGAGTAGGTCTGATGAATTGCTTATTTCAGACTAGAGAAAAAACCGAACGTGATTTTTCTATATCAGATATTATATTGATAGATAGATGGATAGATCCACTGACGCCTTTACTTATTCAGCTAACCTATGCCGGACTTGTGGATGAGCTGCTTGATATGGGCCCTACAGGTTTTTTCCATTATTGTTTTGTCTTGTCCTGTCTTAATGGTTTATGCAAATGCGCATACCCATTCAAGTATTTCAATGAGCAGCATTATTATTAAACTGGATTCACGCTTAGTGTAGAATTGTAACCTTATTATTATCACTGGTCGTAGTGAGACCATAAACTTGAATAATTTCTCGGAATTTTGTTCGATGAACACACCTGTTCACGATGAGTGGAAGTGTCGGAAGATGATTTAATAAGATCTTTGCCTACTAGAGATAAGCATACTCCATCCACGTTTATTTTTATTCCTTCTCTCGTGCCAAACAAAACCGTTTTACGATTCTTCCAAGTACGATCTGTTCATTACTTAGTCATGTTTCGCGCACATCGAAGGTGTCGTATGATGTCCTGTCAATTTCCTGGAGAAGATGGTTTGTGAGTTAATAGATGGTCTACACTGCAGATTCTTATCGGAAGGGCCAGTCCATTTCGTGGTGGGCACCTGGGATTCTTTACAGTCTTTCCTTTTGGCCCTCCGGTTGCCCATCAACTGCACAGACCGCACGAAAGAGTGCGTAGGCAAGTGAGACCCATTTAAAATCATTCATCTCAGACTGCATCGTCCTGCTTATATTTGCGTTTTGTGCATAGCTGGGTGACGTTGATTCGTTCATCTGCATTTATCCAAATAAAATGAATCTTGCACCTTTTCACCATGGTTGGAGCTGCCAGTTTGTGCCTGGACGTCGGTTCGTCTGTCGCCAGATGCACAGTACAGTGAACTGTTTGAGTCGGGGTTTTGTGGAAGTTGTGCCCAATTAACATTTTTAAAAGGAATATGATTTACGCGATTTTTTTTTAGGTAACATAAGAGCGTCGAAGCTGAAGAGAGCTGATGATGCAGGGGACGCAACTGCTGAAGTGCCTTTGCATGATTCACTCTTCCGGACAATACGAGATTTGCATATGAAGGATGTTGGCAAACAGATAGGAGAAAAACTTGGCGAGCTCCGTGATGAGCGCATGGTCTCTTTTCATAAATAAAATTCATTTTGAAGGTGGAAAATCAATGTTGTCGCTTGAGTCCTACTTATTGTCTTTAAAATATAGATTGAATTGATTAATTTTTTTATCATTTTGCTAGTGCCTTTTTAGAATTTGAAAAAAAATCGACCGTCTGATTCGCTGGC